CTGACTAAATTTTGCAAAAAAAAAAAAAAAATCAGACATTGTCTCTATAAAGCAGAACATGCATTATTCTCTTTTGGTAATTCTGGGGCAATTACTAATACAGACAGCCTGTCAGAAAACCACCTGAGTGGCTCAGGTTATTTCCTCCAAGGCATTTTGGCAATCCTCTATTTGTTCTGACATACTTTTATTAATATTGTGTTTATTAAATCTTTCCTTTTGTATTCCTTCCATGTTGGTTGTAGTAAATAAGGTCTTCTTTACTGGAGGGTCATTGGCCAGTTTTAAATGACTGGAAAGTGAATAATTTATGGAAAGAGGAAATTGGAAGTTGTTTTCCATCTTCCACTTCCTAAAAGACAAAAGTTTAACAATACTGAATAAATGCAGTTATTCATAACTTCACATGCTTTTGTCTTTGATTTCTCAAGCCAGTCCTGATTTTATTTTATTTTTTTGCCCATCACTCTTTTGACCAAATAACCGAATTTAAGCCCATTAGAAAATCCAAAATGATTTGTTTCAATACCTGTCAGACAAGTATTTTTTAGGAAATTCACAAACTATCTTTCATAATAAGCTTTCTTTATTAGAGCTGTGGATAATTATAAAAGAGTATCTTTTATGGAGGGTTCAGGTTTAAAACTTTCTCTTCAAATGCTCAGAATTATATAAAAAAGTGCAAACAATCATTTTGAATTTGAGTCTGGAGAAGACTAGAATTTTGTAACAACAAGCATTTAGGGACTAAGGACATAATTCATGAACATTTTTGCCAAAGGCTTTCTGGTTTAGCGCGTGCGTTTCTGGACTAATAAATCATTCTTTTAAATCTGTACACATGTGGAACATTTATGTGTGATACTGAAGCATGCATTTGTGCAACTTTAATAACTGGAACCAAAACTAGAGCAGTAAAAATCAGCATTTTTATTTGGGAACATTGCAGTTAATTATCAGCCATGGTGACGATGGAGAAAGTCGGGGGACGACGGCACCAAAGCCTAACTGCACAACTTTTCAACATCAACACTGTGAATTTAATTACTCATTTGATACGACATCATTTCACATTGCTGGTTCTGAGAAAAACAGGCTAAACTGCCTGCAGCGTTCACCTGGCACCGCCCTGGTACCACTGTCTCAAACTGGCGCCCTGCAATGTGTTCAAGTGAGACTCACTGGATTCTTTAGATATCAAAAATAAAAAACACTGAAAGACCAAAACCTTTTAGCGAGGCTCATCTTCTTGTCAAAGTTTGCTCTATTTGTTCTGACATACTTTTAAATGAATATCGATATTTTTATATATTTAGTGAGATGTTGTGGGTCTAGATAAAATCAAAGCCAGGCAGACTTCTCTCTGCTGTTCTGGTGGAACTGATCCTTTGGTCCTAATTGACGTTTCCTAGAAAGAGAGGGATTGATGGTGGACGGCTATCCTGGCTGGAGGATCGGAAATGTTCTCTCAGCAGAAATATGACTCCCCCTTCATATGCATCGCACATGGATTTAGTGTCTCATCTATCTCTTTTTCTTAGTGTTTATTTATTTATTTCTATACACTATCTTTGCTGACATAAAGCAGGATTGTGATGGGGTAAAGTTTAAAAGATGACACATTCCTGGACAGAAGTCCTAAACCATTGACATGAAGCCGTACCTGAATTTTTACCCCTACTTTCTGCTCCTTCTCAGCCTCGGATTCACAAGGCAAAAACTAATGATAAAGTTACCACAAAGTCCTCGCTTTTTGAAGTTAACATTAACTTTTCACTTAAGCAGCTGACGGAAAATCGGCTCTACATTTTGATGACATATTGACGCACAAGTCCTCCGTCGTGTGACTCATTCACTAAAGCAGTCTGCTTTCTGCTTTAGTGCATGAGCCTGCTGGGGTGATTTAGTGGATGCAGCCTTAAGAGAGACACCTTAAACTTAAGATGCTCACAATTCAGTTAAAGTAATTATATTGACAACAAATCACTAATACACCCATAAGGCTCATAATGTACTGAGCCCGTCCCGTTTGAAATTAGATGTAGGTGTTCTGTTACCCCACACACCGCAAACCGGATATATCAAGATGATTAGTTTGTGGACTGCACCTTTTTGTATTACTGTTTGTAAAGTCCTTCATTACCTTTTATTTTATTTTTGATGCATTTTGATGCCATAATCATTAGTATGTTTTATTTTTTTTGCTACGATAGCAGAACTTATTTGTCCAAAAATGGCACAGATATCTCCGTATTAGGTTCTTTAAATCTTTACGCCTTTATCAATGATGAAAAAGCCATCAGCCACACTCTTTCCCAGGCAAAGCATCCTGGGAAAAAGAAGCCATCTTTCTCGGTCCTCAGAGGCTCTGCTGGTGTGTCACTGAAGATGATTCTGCCTTTTCTAAAAATGTCTCCTGTCCTGTCTTTGCTGGCTTTACTGTTGCTTTACTGGTGGCTCTTCTGGCATCTTATTCACTGAGGAAGAGCCATGCAGGTTGTAAAAATTAAACTCTTTAATTTTAATGTGTAATCTTTCATTTAATATGTGTATATTCCCTGGAAACTTCAAATATGAAAAATGTTGGAACACCGATTCGTTTTAGGAACTCCGTCACTGCAGATTGAAACTTTTGCTAGAAAGAAAAATCAGGTGATTTCTTCATCTTTTTAACTCTGGGAATCCTTCGTCTATATTTTATAGACGAAGTGCTGCACTTTGTAAAGCAGGGGTCAATAAAAGAACCCATTTGAGATGCTGCCCTACCTAATCTCCTCGTTGTGGACGTGCATACGCTGCGCTTTGAGTTAATTGAGGGGAAAAACGTCAAACAGTTTAGTCAGCATATTACTCAGCTGATGAATGACCAAAATGCATTGTTTCCACAGCGTCATCAAAGTTGTTTCTTTTTTCTTCTTTTTTTTTTTCACTAACTATTCCGTGTTGCCACACCGGGAAAAGAAAACATGCGGTGGTGATTTGGGGTGTCTGTTTGTTTCCACGCTTGGTGTCCGGTCTCTTCCTCGCCGTCGAAGGTCCACTTTGTCTTTCTATTTGTGGCGTCTCTCCAGCTGCAAACTGCGGCTATGCAGCCAGACAACAGCACAAGAAGTTGCTTACTGGGGCCTCCTCTTCCTCCTCGTTGTTTGTGATGACAAAGTGGCGGCTCTGAGGAAGATGTGAGAAACAAAAGCAGAAACAAAACTGGATGTTTTTAACTCGCAGATATTTCACTTGAAGCCTCCAAGTTTTTCACTGCTAGATTCATCAGGATGGTGTGATTCCCTACAGAGACATAGTTGAGATCTATCCATTTAAAAAAGAGCAAGAATTGATTCTTTTACATTTTTAAAATATATTAGTTTTTTTTATTATTATTATTAGGTTTCTGATAAATAATTGACCTAAAACTTGAGAGAAGAAAAAGCAAACCTAAATTTATCAGAAATGACCCATTTATTAACATAAATAAATAAATAAATAAAAAACAATGACTTTCCTGTTCAAATAAAATGAAAAATTTAAAAGTCTGCACCATCAAATTTCTGTTTATTCTTTATCTTTACAGATATGAATTGAGTTTTCTGTCAGAGCATGTTTTTCTTTAAGATCTTTTCAAGTAAAATCACTTCCCTTATGAGCAGTTATGAGCCTTATGGGGGTATTTTTAGCTATATTTCATGTTATAATGTAATTCCCTCATCAAATACTGGAATGTTGCTTTGAGTCGTTCATGTGTGTTTGAGGAATCCTTGAATCTTTAGTTTGATCTCAACGATGTTGCCGTTTTAATTCTTAACAGAATGTCAAGTTTCTTCGCGCAAACCTAACATTACTTGTTCCTGAATATTTTTCCTCAACAGTCAAGTTTTGCTGAATGAAATAATCGCCAAGCTTCCTACATCTGAAAGAACTCTGGGAAAAATGAGTTGTTTATACCAGCGTGAGAGCAGCTGAAACACAAGGCACATTTATTCACTATTTATGTGGCTTTATTTCAGTGCAGCGCTGCAGCTGGAGTGGGACTGTAATTTTTGATCAAACTTAAGTTGTCGCCTTGCTTAAAAAACCTCCGACCATTTCTTCACACCAGTAACATTTTTTAAAGGTTCATTTTGAGATGCAACAGCAGTATGGCATAACTAAATGATACGTTAACTAAAATATTCTCAAAAGCCTTTTGGCCTGTTGTTCTAATTCAGTTTTCTGAATTCCTGCTTTTCTGTCATGATGACGAATATTATTAACTGTTCACTCTCTGATAGTGGCAAAATGTGATCTTTAATAGCAAATATATTAGTCATCAAGAAACTTTGTTGCAGTTTCAATAAATGTCACAATGTTTTGAATCTTTATCGTTCTCTATAACTACATTTTGTGTTTGTGTAAAGTTATGGATCAATCATTTCTTTAACTCATTCGTGTGATGTCCTGTGTTTTTTTTTGTGACACCTTTTCTAAGTACATAAACATATAGATTATTGGACAACTATAATCCTTGACAGTCCATTATTGCATGCCAATCTGGGATTCAATCATGACCACAGACACAGCAAATGCTTTTATCAAACTTTCTGGAAATGCAAAACAATGTCCAAGTTTCCATCTAAAGCCTAATGTCATTTAAGAGAACAAACTTGATCTTTTTATATCCACAGTTCGTGCACTCCAATGAAATATTTGGTAATCAGCCACTGACGCTTCTCAAAAGGTTTTGCTAATATCTGTTAGAATGCTAATATCTGTCTCTCTGTTTCTCTCTCTCTTTCTCTTTATTATTTTGGATAAAAATTGCACGACATTTAAGAGGTTTGACAGTGTGATATTTTTTATTGACACAAAATGTGCAGCCTGCATATTTTAGTAAGTGTTTTTCAGCTCATTTGACCCGAGAGCCCTACTGTATACATGTTCAGACGTGTAAGCTACGCCTGATTATAAATCAAAATGCTGCTTAAAAAAAAAAATCAATAACTTAATTCGCAAAATGTGTGTTTCAGTTTTCTGCTGGTGTTCAGCTGCTTGGTGTTGTCTGTGTTTTCGACCATTCCTGAGCACCAAAAGATGGCCAACCAAGGCCTCTTCATCCTGGTAAGACCTCCTCTTCATCTCTCCCACACATATGTGACACATAGCATGCGCTTTCAGAGTCTCCTGTATACATATATGTTTGTATATGTGTTATTTTTGATCATAGAAGTAGTTGTGTAAGCAATTGAGCGGATTCAGGTGATGTTGACTTTGCAGGAAATCAGACATGATGCTCTAATCCTAAAAGTTGCCCCTTAATCACCTCTCTTCCTCTGTGCTTTAGCTGCTTTAGAGAAAACTAATGGATGCCCACTTTTCCTTCCAAACCTGACTCATCCACCTCCTCCTTTCTCTTCTCCCGCCTTACTCATCATTATGTGTCTTTTAGCAGCAGTGCTCCCGACCTTCACATTGGTTTAGTTTACGCTGTCTGTCAATCTCCTGCCATTATCGGCCAACTGGCCGTCAGTGGACTTTACTTTCACTATCGCCATCATTTATTGACATTTTGGTCCTGAGGAGTCCAGAAATCTGCTCTATCAAGTGAAAACAAACAAGGCTGTGGCCGAGTTTGTTTTACTGTTTTATAAAACAATCTTGAAATTTTGCAATTCAATGTTTAAAGTGACAATGATGATACAACAGTGTTCTTCTATGAACTACTTACTCTGAAATTCAAGCAAAAATGTTGTGTTTATCTGCAGACAATGATAAATGGTCAAAATAACGAAAAAGATGCCGCAGTTCTGCAAATCACATTTTATGGGATGCATTAAATCAATGCATTCACAATTTTCCTACAAGAATCATGACATTCTAAAAGCCCATTCTGCTTTGACTGGTGATTTTCACTAGTAGCAGCCATGACCTCGTCTTCTGCACTTTTCTATTGTGATTGTTTTTCTGGCATTTATATTTATTTTATTGTTTTTTAAAAGCTGTGATATAATGAAGCTCTCTGGTTGGAAGGTTGGCCATCCAGTCCTCAGCTCTGCTTCATGTTCAAGTGTTCTTGGGTAAAATGCTGAACCTACAGTTGCCATAAATACTCTGACTCGTCTGCGATGTCAGAACAAAAAGCGTTGAGAATGCAAATATAGAAAAAGCTGTGTGAATTGGTCAATTTGTAACACATTGTGTATGCAAATACCTAGAAAAGGTTTGTGACGAATGGATCAAAATGCGGCGGATGTGCTTGTGTGTGATTTGCAGGAGTTTGTAATGATCGTGGTGTTTGGCTTGGAGTACTTCATCAGGATCTGGGCAGCGGGCTGTTGCTGCAGATACCGGGGATGGCAGGGACGCCTGAGATTTGCCAGGAAGCCCTTCTGTGTCATAGGTCAGAGTCTGTGTGTGAACCGTCAATCAAACCCAGCAGTTCTGTGTGTTCCTCTGGACAACCTTTTTGAAACATCATCTCGTAACCACCTTTTCCTATCTTTCTGTTGCCGTTTTGTTCGAATGCCTTTGCTGCAGATTTCATCGTGTTTATCGCATCGCTAGCGGTGATCGCCGCAGGGACGCAGGGCAACATCTTCGCCACGTCGGCCCTGCGCAGCATGCGTTTCCTGCAGATCCTGCGCATGGTTCGCATGGACCGACGGGGAGGCACCTGGAAACTACTGGGCTCCGTGGTTTACGCTCACAGCAAGGTGGAGATGACAAACTGCTGCACTTGTTCTGCCCAAAAAAACTGACTGCTCCAATTTAAATTTGAGGAATATGAAGTTTTATTCAAGCTTGCTTCTACTTGGGTGGCATGATGAGCGTTGTATGTGATGGTTACTGTTTGGATAAATAGGTTATTAACAGGTGATGTGAAAGGAAACATGCTAATGCTAATTAATTAACGCTTCCCGCCTTGAAACATGCATCTCACCTTGAAAGCTGTTCGCTTTGAGGGGCTTCTTTTGCTAACAGGAGTGATGCACATTCTCCAGTCAGCATTATGTGTAGTGAGCTACAATGATGATGATGAATTGATGTAAAAGCTCACCGAGCGCAGCAACGCAACTAAGTCAAAGTGCAAGCCAAATGCAATTATGAGGCAAAGCTTAGCCAATAATGACAGTAGTGATATGGTAACGACAGATGGGATCTGGATGCTGCTGCTGACGACTAATGTGATCGATGTCCATTCTCTGCCTGACAGGAGCTGATTACAGCCTGGTACATCGGTTTCCTGGTGCTCATCTTTGCCTCCTTCCTCGTCTACCTGGCTGAGAAGGACATCAACTCAGATTTTGGCACCTATGCAGACTCCCTCTGGTGGGGGACTGTGAGTACTGCACAAACCCCCGGCTGCACAGGCTCCTCATCGTTTGTCCAGCGAGTGGTGACAGCATATCTTTATGGTGGCGAAGCTTTCAGAAGCAATTTAAGCTTTTAAATGTCTCTTCTGAACTATAACAACTGAAGAAAAAAATAAATCTTCGCAGTTGATTAAAATGAAAAGTTAAGATCAACTGTAAATACAATAAAGTGATGAAAAATAATTAGCACGGTACTGGTTCATTTTTAGCCAATTCTTTATTTAATCCTGAATATTATAACCTTGTGATTATATTTATTTATTTCAAACAGGTTTTGAAAAACAAGAAATCAGTAGGACAAATAAAACATGTTCAGACACAACCAAGAAGAAAGTAATTTGTTTTCCAGTATACGTTTTTGTTTGAAAAGGAGTAGGAAGATAATGAGTTGGATTATTTATCGCGATTTAATGAGATATATTAATTGTGGACTCAATAATTATCAAATATTTGTAATTTAAACCATTTTATAATATTTATGTGCCTGTTCAAATGCTAATTTAGTTGCAAAAGTTCCTGCAAAATGGTATTATTACTATTATACAATGTAGCTTACTTTAGGATGTAGGATTGATTCTTCTTCTTAGTTGTTAAAGCCACATTTTCTTCCTTTTGAAGTACAATGTCTTGCAAAAGTAGCAACAGCCCTTGAGCTTTGTCACATTTTATCATGTTCCACCCACAAACCTTTGTGCGTATTTACTGGGATATTACGTGATAGGAGCTAAGTTAAGGCATCACTTGATATTATTTTGAGGAATCAGAGCAAAGGGAGCTGAATGCTTATTAGTTCTCCATTCACAATAATCAAAAAAAGCTGGATAAAGTTGAAGGGGAAATGCTCTATGTACTGGGTTGTGTTCTGCGTACAGTTTACATGTTGTGAGGATCACAGCTCGTCTTTGAGATCTGAATTTTTTCATGCATTCAGATAACTTTGACCACCATTGGGTACGGAGACAAGACGCCTCGTACGTGGCAGGGACGACTTCTGGCGGCTGGCTTTGCCCTCCTGGGCGTCTCCTTTTTCGCCCTGCCTGCTGTAAGTCCACCGTATTTGCAAACATCCTTATCTGTGACCTTTTTAATTTTTCTTATTTTGGCAAGAAACTAACTCAGCAGCTTTTTTTTGTATCTTTATCTTCAGGGGATCTTGGGTTCAGGCTTTGCCTTGAAGGTTCAAGAGCAGCACCGGCAGAAGCACTTTGAGAAGAGGAGGATGCCTGCTGCAAACCTCATACAGGTGAGAACATAACATCAGTGTAAGCTGACGTTAGGTTCTGCTCACACATTACCTGGGCAGTGTTGACTCTGACCTGTTTCTCCCTCTAGGCCGCATGGCGTCTCTACTCTACAGATGCCAAACACTCGTATCTAACAGCAACATGGTATTTCTACGACAGCATGTTGCCGTCGTTCAGGTAGGTGTTGCCACCGGGCCACCTGGTCTGCAGTGAGCTGAATCAACAAGAACCACAAACCGCTTCTTACTTAAAATACTGACAGCATCTCTCTAAAGGTGAATAAAAGTAATGAAAGATGCTGGAGCTGATCATTATTCAGATTATACAATTAATTCAGTGGGATAAAACAGCATTTTGCCACTCGAACGCTCTTCATTTTTAAACACAGAAATTTCACAACCATTATGTAGTTACACATAATAACATTTTTGTGCATTTTATGTTTTTTTTAGTTAATTTTACATTTGTGCTTTAATTTTTATTTTTACAATTTTTAAAAAAAATTCCCATCTCAAATTTTTTATTTCTTTTTTTTATATTCAGGGGAAAATAATTATTTTTGGACAACTTGTAATCTGAGTTATTACATCCAAGCCAGTTAAATGAGGAAATAATTCAATCGGGACTTAAAAAAAAAAAATTCTTTGAGATTTAACAAACGTGACCAAAAATGTACATTCATCAATTTTGTAAAAGAGATGCGTTTTAGCTCAGTTTGTCAAAATATATATGGACTGTTTTTACATGCATCCAAAGAAATAAACACAATTTAAAACATCACACAGATTTTTACTTTTATCAGTCAAAAACAGTAAAACTTCAAATTATTTTTTATAAATTTTAATTATCTAATGGATCTGCTGATATATGGTCGTTAAGTAATTTACTGATGATGCATCAAGCCATTTTATGAAGTTTATTGGAAGCAGGATATCCAGTTGCATTCCATAATAGCCGGAAAGTCTGCTTCATAACAGGAATAAATAAATAAAAATATGAACATGCAAACTTTACTTTGATTCATTTTTGGAGTCTATGTCTGTTAAAATAACCTCAGGATGTTTCTCAAACAATACTTCTAACTTTATCAATAATAAATTGATTCCTTTTGAATTTGCTTTTTGTTAGGTGCGTTGGATAATTATGGCCACTTGATTGACACTTTCTGTAGCTTTCGAAAATATATTGAGAATGATGTCTGCCTCCTAAGAATAAAATTGAAATACTTCAGAATATGTTCAAGATGTAAACATATTTCTGCCTCTTTGTGCCAGAAACTGAAGCAACATCTACGTAGAAGCACTTAAGTTTAAAGAAAATCAGCTAAATACTCAACGGCAATAAACTAAGTAAGACATGTTGGTTGCTGGATTCAAGCAGAAATGTCCTCCTGATGGACCAAAAGCGAAACTTATGAAAGGTTATAATCATGCAACATACACTATATTTGGTCTTATAGTCTCAAACTCCAGTAGTTGTGCAGTGTCTGACATCAGTGCGTCTTGCTTGGCATGTTGGCTCTAATAACACTTTTTGCTGTTTAAGGCTTTGCTGATGGATTTAGTCATTATGTTGTGTGTGGAGTAATGTTAGGTTAACTTTAGAAAGGCTGTTTCTGTCAATATGTTGAGGCTGCGTATCTTGCGTCATGGAATCTATCGGCTTAAACGATCTTCAGGCCTAAATGGTTTCAATAAGAAGCAGAAAAATATTCAGTCGTTAAATTTGTCATCTTAGTGACACGGTCAGTGGTTCAAATAATACCAGGAATAAAGTAAACCTTTGTTTCCATTGTTTCCTGAACACCAAACCAGAACAAAGGACGAAACACGTTGACGCAATCCAAGAGGAAACTGCAAACCGGGCATTGCTGTAGGATGTGTGGCTATTGCATTTTGTATGTCTTTCATAGAGCAAAGTTTTGTTAATACCAACATAGATCTAAGTATAAATCTAGAACAATACAGCTGCCTCTGACTGGTGCTACCACTTCCTGCCCAAGATAGCAAATTAAGTTGACTCTGCTGATGGTGGCAGCTCACAAATCACCCTTTGAGCTTGAGTCAAACAAACTAAAATATAATTGTTTTCGTATTTCAACATTATTCTTGATAGTCTGACTTTATTCTTTCCATAAGTAAAGGCAAAAAGGTAGTCTTTTTTTGTTCAAAGTGACCCTAATGCTTCTTTGTACTTTACATGCAAAGTCATTTTGATGTATTAATTTTACTAATTTTTGTTTATTTAAAAGGAGCATGAGAAACTTGCATCCAAACAGCAAAGGACATTTTTCTGACAGAATCTCCACATATAACCAATTTTCTTACAAGACAAACAAAAGTATTTAAGATTTTCTAATGTGGATGACGGGAGATAAATCGAGACATCACCAGGTAACACTACTGTATGCTTGATAGTTTATCTGACTAACCAGCTTGCAAAAGTCACCAAACCCACATGAAATTATCAAAATAAAAATGTTCTACTGCAAATGAACACATTCAACCGCAAGTGAAAGTAATTTAACCACTAAAGAAAGTTGTTCAGTCTTAAACAAGTGATCAAACTGCAGACTAAAAATCAATAAACATGTCATCATGCTGGAAACAAAAGTCATCTAATAGAAAACAGGAACAGTTAAAAACCCCGTCATCCTCATGTCAAAGTCATTCAACCGCAAATTAAAAACAACTAAACGCAAATCAAAGTCGCCCATCCACAAAAAAGAAAAGCATTTCTTGTCGGCTGGTTTAGTTTTATGATTTGGATCCTGAATTTATATCATTTCTATTATGTATCTCTTTTCTTTTAAATGTTCGGACCATTTAATTGGTCTTTTTGTGGCTCTCTATTGTTTGGTGTTTTCGTTATTTTGTTCATTTGTCATGTTTTGTTTGTTTTTGTTCATCTGTGCACGTGGGTGTCAGAGAACTGACGCTACTGTTCAGTCACCTCCAGCGACAACGTAACACCAAGAAGGTTCTGCAGAACTCCTACAACACGCTGCTGTCTGGGCTCCGGCCCTACAGCTCCCCCTATCTGTCGAGGGACAGGTAGGCACCTTTACCAGCGCCCCAGGGCGTCCAAACAGGAAGCCAGAAAACACAGCCACACACATTGATCATCAGACACAAGTTAAATCAGAACTGACTGACACATGGAGGTGTGGTTCCTCTAACCGTCCTTTACTAACCCGAGTTCTTACCGTTTTACCGTCGTCTCTGTCTGCAAAGTGCAAAGCTCATGCCCCAGCCATCTTTGCCATCTCTCGCCCCTCACTCATCAGTTTCCTCTTCCTCTCTTCTTTTCCTTTATGTCCATTCTGTCCTTTTCATGGCATCCATCCTCCATCTGTTCGTAGGAAGGCAGAAGTTCCATGCAGGTTTGTTCTTCACGCCACGAGCTTGTAAACTAAAGGTTATTGTTAGTCAAAGGATTACGATCGGAGTGAATTTAATATTAACTAGTGTAAACAAAGAGTTGGTTACTTAGTTGGTGATTTGCAGGCTGTATGCATGCACCGGATGAAAGAAGCATGTCAGGGTTCTTGGAGAATCAAGGCTTCTGGAAGATTTCTCATGTTTTTGAGGTGCTGCTGTCACATCATGACGGTTATACTCAGGTGAAACCCTTAACTGCTACAACCTGTTTTTGATAACACTCATCCCCCCTACTGAGTGAGTGTATCTCAATAATCCAAAATTGCCTTCATAATTCACACGTTTTGCTTTAACATGGTGTGACATTAGCAAAACTTTGAAATGGCTATTTGGATCATTGAGAAGCAACGCTTCACTTTGAGATGCACCGGTCGTCTGGCTTTGTGTTGTAAACAAGAACTTAAGTATATTGCAGAATACTATATAAATCACTATTTTTTCACTAATTTTAAATAAAATTTTTTGTAAAGAAGTTTCCCATAATCAACTTTGGCCATTTTTTAAAGAATTATAATTATTTAAAAACAAGTTCATTAATCATTCTCAATAGGAGAAAAGTTCATACCAATAGGAGCCACTGTAAAACAAGGTTTTGAGGAAATATTAATGCAAATTGGAATACTGTCTTAATGATCAGCATGATTAGCTGGCATCTGAAATCTCTAGCCAGGCTGCTTTCTAAATCCATCATTTTACATAATACACAGATTTGGAAAGACAAAAAGCATAAAACAGATCAACTTCAGGTTCTGCCTTTCTGTTTGTCTGTTACAAGTTTAGTTCCCACTTATTCTCTCTGCCTGAGCGAATAAATAAAATTGTGATTAAAAAAAAAGTTTTCTTCCAAATTCATTCTGAAATTTCAACCGACTTTTGACTTTATTTTTAAGCATCTCACTGAAATGGCTACATTCAACATGCTAGTACTATGGTGTATTCATCTGTTGACAAAATGTGGTTTTATTTAGTTTCAAAACACTATTAAATGTAAATATCCACCAGTTCAGGCCACCATCTAATTTCTCGGTGCATCTCTAGCTTCACACCTTTCACTCTCCATCCCTTTCTCTTCACTGCACCTTATTCTCATGGGTTCTCCGTGTACCCAGGTTGCATCCGAGGACTTCTTGTCCTCCTCCACCCACACTGCCTTCACTCCCTCTCGGCCCCTCACCGTCTTTCCCTCTGCCTTGTGTGTCTCCCCAGTCAGCTCCTTTCTAAAAAGCGAGGTCTCTTCCGGATTCATGCTGGGCGCAAGCAGAGGTACCCGCAGCAACAATCCTGTGCACGGGGCACGTTAAAACGTCGCAGATCGATAACTCTTACTTCTTCAGCAGCACATCCTGCCTACCTTGCCTGAAGCACTCAAAGATTTGTGGGCCGGATGCAGTGGCTTTCTAAATGTTTTCTTACAGTTAATGCAAAAACACCATTCACAGCATGTGACTTCTAGAAAGACGTGGCATTAATATTGCATATAAGAAGCAATAATATTTATGTGTGCAACCATGGCTGGCCTTAAACAGTCACTGCATTCTGGTCCACAAATACTTGTGCAAAGACTTTAATATATGAATAGACTTTAAGGTTTGTCTTGTTTTGTAAATGCTTGAACAATTAGGACTGAATTTGGTTGTTAAATTCATGTCAAAAGTCCCAGTTGGCCAATGAATGGCTACAGGCCCTTAGAAAGGTATTTGTAGCCCCAGACTTTGTAACATTACAACCACAAACCTCAACTTATTTTATTGGGAACAAATTTAAGTAGAAGAAAGATTTTCACGAATAAATCTGAAAGTATAGAATAAATTCAGATTCAGCCCTCAAAATTATTGTTCAGTTTCTCTACAAGTCTTTATCTGACTCTGCAGGCAACACCATATAGGACAGTGGTCATATAAAGCACACAAAACCAATTGCAGTTAGGCAAGAATGTTAAATTTTTGTGTGAAGTTGTGCTTTAGTTGAAAATACAGAGTCTACTACAATAATTGAGAAGTTTGGTTAATTCTCAAAATATATTAATTGCCAATTGTTCTATCACAAACAAAGCCCATGACATACACTTAAAGTTGTGGTTGTAATGGGGTGTGGATACAGTTGCAGTAAAAACATGCATTTTATGCTCATCAAAGGTCTTTGATATTGTGGAAAACATTCCAAATAAAGTTTTCCTGCTTTAATTGGTTGTTTTTCACGAATAAAAAGGTTCACAGCTCTGTGCATGCTCTCTGGTTTCAAACCGATCAAACCTCTGTATCAAATCAACATGCTTGTGTTGTATTTTTTTTTTTTATACGCAGCTTAAGTGCTTCTCTTTGCATGCAATGTTCTGGAAAGCATTTACTTCCTTTCCCTACAGCATGCAAAGGTTTTTTTTCGCTCTATTGAACCCCCCCACCCCTCCATTTCCTGCCAAAGCCTTTTCATATGAAATGCTGTCCCCCTCCAAGCCTACTCCTGCTATTTGAATTTTATTTTAAATAGCTGGATTATGTGTATCACACATAAGACAAAGAGTATATCATCTGAAAAGATGCGGGAGTGAACGACTTGGCTGGAACTGCTCTGCGGTGCATGACAGTTGCGCTGCCTATGGATCCGTGATAGAACGTAACCTCTAAGTGGGAGATCTCCACAAGAGCATGCTCTACCAGCAGCATTAGGGAGTCGATCTTTTGTAGCGCCTGCCTGCCAAATAGCTTTTCTCCTGTAAGCAGTTGACCCCAGATAGCTCCCTGACTCGGCTTGTGGTGAGTGGTACCGAGTGCTCAGTGAAATGCCTTTTGTATTGCTGCCCTTTGAAGCGAATGTTTTGATGCCCATAAGGTCTGCTGAAGGGATTAAGGTGGTTTCTGTGATTTTTGCAGGACAATCTTTTTTGCTGCTCCAGCACCGTAGCAAGGCTTTAGTTTTATTTTGCTGATTCGGGTGCAAAGACAGTAACAACAGGCCAGTCCTTAGGGCAGAATCAGTAAATATTGCACACAGTTCCTCTGTACTTCAGCTACTCTGTCCTTCACTGACAAAATGTAAATCTTTGCTGCGTTCTTGTTTTTTTCTGTTTCCTCATGCGATGCCTGATGCTTCAAGAGGCCAAGTTTTTTTGTTACCTCTTTTTCTACTAACTCTTTCCTAACAAAGTTAGGTTTCCATCCTGCTCTTTTCCATGTCCCTCCCAATAACATGGTGTATTAATACTTTAATGATGGTTTGTGGCAACGCAACCAAACCCAGAAATGTACTGGCTTGAATAGAAGAAAGCTGAAATCGTTTATTTCTTCAAGAAGTCTCACCTCTCACCCAAATGTTTCTTTGATTCTGGTCATTAATAAGAAGTCCTAATCTTTCAGAGCTGGGATTGCTGATGGGTTTATCGTTTTCTATCTATGATCAGAAATGTGAAAACCTTTCGGGTGAGAGGCAAAACATATTTAAGGAACTAGAAAAGAAAAGCCTGTTGTCTTCTAATCAAGCACTAAGAACCTCCATTTCCTGGATGGCTGAGAATCTACACTAAAAAGCTCAAATTTGATGGCTATCATTTCCCAAAAATATCAGTGCATGTCCTTGTATTGAACTATTTTAACTTCACTGTTAGCAGTAAAATGGGCTTCCGGGATCGGATCCGGATAAACAACTCTCGTTCATCCCAAACCATCCGGAACAAGGCTTCACCGTTGCCCCCAGGCTCCGGCGTCCGGTGCTCCCCGAGCCAGGAGAACGTCCCTGAAGCCACCAGCCCCGGAAAGGTCCAAAAGAGCTGGAGCTTTAACGACCGCACGCGCTTCCGCACCTCCCTTCGCCTCAAGCCACGGCCACCTGTTGATGGTGAGCAGAAATGACACATTTCGCCAGAGCTCACAAGAATGTTGCCAATCGTCTTCTTTACTTCTTGGACTTCAGTGGAAGGGGTTGGAGAGGAAAGCGTGGAAGACAAGTCATACTGCGATGTGGCCATGGAGGAGGTGATTCCAGCTGTGAAGACGCTCATACGAGCTGTAAGGTGGGTTCTTTCACCATCTTTCATCATATTCATGATGAAGGATGACCTAATCTGAGAGTTACAGTAGAATAGACTAGAAGAGAAATAGCCCTTAGCTTCCTTTAGTGGGGAAATTAAGGTTGAACAGCAGCAAAGTGACAGGCAATCAAAGCATATATAGGTAATATAGATTTACACAAAAATAAAAAATATACATCAAAACAGAAGTATAACATAGTGTACAACACTTATTAATGAAGCACTTATTAAAAATACATACTTTGATCCAAAGAAATGTGCATTAAAATTAAAAAACAAATTTGAATTGTTCCCAAAGGGAATTGACATTTAGTTGTAACTCATTTAATTAAAGTCGTTGTGTATTTCTGTATTAAAAACCCCAACAAATTACTTACAAGAAGGGAAAATAAAAACTGTGCAAACAGAGACACACTAATGACAGCAGGAATGTTACTTGAAACATGAAAAACTGGGAATAGCAGCAGCGATTTTAAACACTTCTAGAGTTTGTTGGGAGTGCTGAGGGTTATAAAGTTATAACGGCCTTTGGGAGGAAGGATCTGCGATACCACGGCTCTGTGCACCTAGGATGTAGCGGTCTGCCATTGAAGGAGCTCCACAGTTCAGTAGCAGCTTCAAGCATGTTGGGTGGAAGTATTGTCCATCAGGGATCCTGCAGAAAGTTTTGGGGGAAACAAGTGTTGAAGAATCATGACTAAGCAAACGCTTAGTCATGTTTTACTCATGGAGATAATAAAGCCGCCCATATTGGACGATGTGTGCTTGTGTATGCGGGCCAGGAGAGCACAGTGCACACTGTAGTTGACATTAAAAGGCAAGCTATGTCTTTAAATCATGCAGATTTGGCTGATCAAGCAGAAATATCCACTTGAGGAGGGAAACTGAAGCTTTCTGCACGGTAAGATTCCCCATGTGACCTTATTACTCAGCTTGGCTGGTCATGTGTGAGGTTCTGCGATATGGTGGCCTATAAGGAACATTTACATGAATACACAGAGACACAGGTAAAAACCCAATCTAGATGGATCATAATACAATACGACTAAACCGAGACACATTATTATGTACAGTTCTGACAAGGACAACTCTTACAAAAGGTGATTAAGGGCTTTTGTGATATTTAAGTCAGTTTCTGACATTGTGTTATCTCTTCCTGTAATGGAAGCACTCCTGGACAAACTCTGATGTTCTCTAAGAATATTATTTCACTGGAGGATGTTCTTACATAACATGTGCCTTATGCAGAGAAATGCATATTTAAATTTTTTTCTAATAGGTTAGTACCATTGCATCCAGCAAAATGTAAAATTATGCCACCTCGTGCTTAGATGTGTTCACATTAAGGCAAAGTTTTCAATAAAAACATTGTTATTCAGCTGTAAGATAACTGATGTTGGTTTTGTGATTCTTTCAGATTTAATTACGTCAATGATTTTGTTTTGCATGTGCTCTGGCCATCTTTATTCTTCTTGAAGCAGGAGTAGACGATGGATGGATGGTGTTAGTTTAACTCAGTTTGTGTCTACAATGAGTGTTGAGTCCTCTTTTCTTCTTTTTATACTGGACCACATTGTATTGTATAGCTGTTTTTCCAGTGGTGGTAGTGGCAGTAGGATCTGACAGACGAATATTAACTTTTCAACGGTTTCTGCTGTGTATGTCTTCATTTGTATGTACGTCAGCTGTTGCTCTTGAGTGTTTCTTCTTTTAGAAACACTCATTTTTCCAACTTGTTCCAGAGAATCTGCATGCAAAGCCAATACAGAAAGCATTAATGTTTGCTTGCTCGGCGTGTGCACTCACATGTGAATGCTGCAGCAAGTCCTTCAAAGCATTTACACGAAACATTCATGAATACAAGAGCAGCTTCATACGCTCTTCTGAAGGACTCTTTAATTTGTATTTGCGATTTTGACGCAAAGACGATCACCTGCTTTGTGTGGCGTTTTACTAATAAGTTGGGCTCTGTAATTGTATCTTTTGTATCATGTTTGAGAATCTCTTTTTTTCTCATTCATACAGAAATTGTAAATGAAAATTGAAACACACTTAAAATTGATCTGGTTTAGCATTCAAATTAGCTACTAACTCACATGAGTCATGTTCTTTCCCCATCATATTAAACAATTTTCCCAGAAAAAAAATTAATTAATATGCTTATCTTGTCCTAATCTGTAGCTGATGATGTATTTTTTATTGTTTTTTTTGTTCCATGAAACAGAAAATTCTAAGAAGTTCTCAAGCAGCAGTGTGGGCCCAGCATCCATCCCTACACATTCACACACACACGCACACCCACACACACTCAGATTACCTGTATGAAGTTTTTTCACTGATGGTGGCAGAAAAACTACAATTGCTAGCAAACATCTGGTGCTGTTGCTGGGCCGTACTCCTGGGGGGGTTGATGAAAGCAGTTTATAATACCTCTGTTTCCTGGTCCCTGATGTCAGCACTGGAGCCTGACTGCATTTCTCAAGGTAGCGTGATGCTGTCTATGGAGTTCTATATTTGCAACATGATGATGCCCTTGGAAGAAACGACCTTGCACATGAATATTTTTATGAGGATATTTTCTTAAATGGGATCTGATCACGGCATTTAATTTAAAACATTCTTGTAAGAATTTGGTTTTGTAAAATCTTCTTTAAGAGCTGCAGTTCACTTTTTTCTATTATGCTACATTTATGGAGATAAATGTATGTTATTGGGATTTTATGTGACTGAATAATATAAAGGAGCACATTTGTGAAGTGGAGTTTATTTGTCAAAAAGTTTCCATCTCCACTTTTTTGAAAAAGCCAAAAACCAAAACAACAGAGTGTAATTTCTTTTTTTTTTTTTGCCAAATTGAAGAAATTATTTTGAACTTTACCATTTCTACTAACTGTGCCAGGATTTGATCTCAGGATGTTCTTGCTCCAAGAGAATGGTGGAACAAATTGTGCCTCAATGGACCTCTGTATTTTACCCCCTTTACTCTGATGACCTTCAATAAAATTAAGAAGTTCCTCCTTGCTTAGATGTTCAGAAGTAACCTAAATAGCAAATGGAGTATACTTGTGTCAAATTTAGTGTCGGTGTGAAGCTGTGAAGGTCTTATAGGTTTTTTTTAGAGGACATTAGTGAGCCAGAGCTACAGTGGAAGGACTTGGATTTGGACCGTGACAAAATGGTCCAGTCAAAGTAAAAACATAAATCTGACTTAGAATCATAAGCACGATTTTAAAAACCTGATGTTTTCAAAATCTCTCCATGGTTGTCTAAGGACAACTCTTTTTGTCTTTCATGGGTTCCTGAGGTTTGAGCTCCCCATGCTTCATTTGACTTGTTTTGGCGCTAAATTCAAACTGCGTTTGGCTAAGCGGTCCTTCAGATGTGTGATTCCTACTTCAGGCGTGCGCCACCGTGTGTTTCTGTGTGACAGTCTGATGCCACTGATAGGCCAAGGCACTGTCCTCTCAGGTTTGTGCTTGACTCAGCAGATAACTCTGACCTCAGCTGCTATGTGCTGCAGACAATAGACGGGGGAGGAGTTCCTAAAGATAGTGCAGGTGCGTAAACAGCAGGTGTTTTCACTGTGTTAGCACACAGGTACATGTGCAACATCTCAGCACGGCTCATGATTGATGTCCGGGAAACACAGAAAGGCTTTAGTGCTGAGACTTCATTTTAGATGCATGTGGTTTATCAGTGCCAGGCTGCCTGAATAAATGTGTATGGTGCTGGGTATGTATGGAGAGAGGAGAGGAGAAAACAAAGCCTGTGTGCTTCTCTTCTGTAACTCCCCACGTGCAAAACTGTGATACTGCTTAACAACATTCTTGCAAGCTTGCAGTCTTTGATGAAGTGCCTGCTTTAATAGATAAATAGTTTGGACATGGTTTCCATTTATAGTGATCTGATGTCATTTGTTGTTGTGGCTTTCAGGTGTAATATTTTTAAGACCTTATTATTTTTATGCTTGATATTAATCTGTTATACATCTACTTCACCTCGTGGGCTGGGTTTTGTCACTTAGCAGGCGCATAGTTATATCCAGAAAGATCCAGGCCTACTCCTGCAGTGGCTCATCCGTCTTGGCCCACCTTGGGTTCATGTCAGCAAAACAGTCATTTTCAATTCCCAGATAAAACCTGCCATTGGAGACTATCTGGGAATCACCTTTGCTGAATTGCAGAAATGTTTGCAGTGGCTTTGCAAGCATTTTGGGCCACAGCTGACACTTCCTCTCTCCCCAGTCATCACCGTGTTTTTACATCTCAACTTCCTAGCACCGAGAAGCGATTATGTCTTTAAGTTAGCCGTGCCAACTGTGCCGTGCAGTGACTGGAAATTGTCTGGATGAGGGTGGGGGCGCTGAAACCTGACTCCGTGTTATTAAAGCCATTTTAGTGACCAGGAAGGAGAAGTCAGCAATTTGAAGAAACCCCCGGAGGATACAAAAAAAAACCCTCATTCCCTTTCAACCTTTTTCTTAACCCACACCTGAGGCCCGCCCTGGCAAGAAAAAAAAAAAAAAAAAACTGTGCCTACTTGCAAATTAAGAAAAGAGTGCTTGCAAAAATACTCCAAACGCATAAGTCATCAAGAAGCAGAGTGCTGCGTGAGGAGAAGGGGGACTGCGCTGACGGCCATTACGGCACCAGGTCACCATCCAGTCCTTCTCCTTTCCACTCACTTCCCTGCTTTACTCAAACATTCTTCTCATCTTCACTCGTCCTCCTCATTCAAAGAGCTAAAATGTGTTCACACATTGTGACTCAATAATATCGAGCTCTTGACTGCGTCATCCTCGTCAGTTTAGGACGGACAGCCAGGTCTTGTTAGGTTCGCAACTTTCCTTTAATTTCAAAATAATGCACCACTTTCTCATAAAATGTGTTGATACATTTAAATAAAACACAATGATTTCATTGTGTTTTATTGTCGCAACTCAGAGACAGGAGTTCCTGCTGATAAATAAAACTTTATCCTTTTTTATGCTGAAACTCTTTTCTTTCCATCACTTGCATAGCCAACCACTGGAAAAAGAAACCACTGCTTATTGTGTTTATTGCGTCAGTTAAAGCTTCTTTTGACACATTGTGTTGCACAGCCAGCCTTCCTGGCAAACAGAATAAAAGGGAGCAGAGGTAACAGGCAACACATGAAACCAGGTGCAGACATCTTTAAACTTTTCTTCACATTTTTTCCTCTTTTTATCTCTGTTACAGGCTCAACTCCCTCATGCATGACCTTTAAGCAGAACCGCTGCCAGGGGATGTTGTCAGTGGATGTGTTCACCTGGTACAGTGGTGTAGGGTTAACAATCGTGGGTGCGACTCCCCCACACTCGGGTGTGGGTGGTGATTATGAGCTGTGTGCACCCGGGAGCAGGAGCAGCTGTGGTCCACCAGTGGCTCCAACGCAGCTGTCACAATGACAAAAGAGCAGAAACTGGGGGTAGAATAGAGGTGTGTGTGTGTTATCCTATCCGTGGAACTGTGCTAATTGCTGAAACAGCAAATCCCGACAAGAAAATGTCTTTGGGGCGCTGAGCGGCTCAATATATCCACATGGTTTAGTAGGTTTGTGACTGCTTTCTTTATGGGCCTGCTTGTGAATGATAAGGTCATGCTGACTTTAATTAATCTTGTTATTGTCGGGGTGAGCTGCATTGTTTGATAGCCTCCTGCTTATGCATTTTTCCAAAGGTTTACGGTGCTTCTATGCGCTTTCCCGTGCGGTTTTAAACTCTACGCAGAAAGGTAATAACAGGAAGAGTGTTGTGTTTGTGTGTGTAGGATTCTGAAGTTTCTAGTGGCGAAGAGGAAGTTTAAGGAGATGCTGCGTCCATATGATGTGAAAGACGTCATAGAGCAGTACTCTGCAGGACACCTGGACATGCTGGGCCGCATCAAGAGCTTGCAGATGAGGTACCTTCATCTTTATGTCACAAACACTCATCTGCTTCTTCACAATCTGTAAAAAAACAAGACATTAATCTCATGATACGTTTTCTGCCAAATAATAAAAATAAGCATAATATATTTTCTAATTTTGTATGCCAGGATTGAATAAATCCTTTGTTTTTTACACACTCCTAAAATAGCTCAAAGCAACTGTAGATGAAATATAACACCGTAATTGTTATATTATATATGTTCATTTAGCAAAAACATACAGTAAATAGTAAACACAGGGGTTTACTATTTGCAGTACAAAAGTATTAATTCCCCCAAGCCAAGCCGGATGCCTTTAATGAAAATGGGGAACATCTTTAAATTTTGCAGCTACATTGACTAAGACACACTGCTTTGTTTGGAATAAAAGTTAATTTTAATAAACAGTCTTATATTTTGCATTTCTACCAACTGATCAACCTAATTTTCCAAAACTTAAATTTTTTTAATTTTGAGTTTAACACTCTTTATTGCTTTCAGCAAGGGTAAAACTAATTAAATGACAGAAAATTTTGATATGTAGTCAATTTGTGTCTTATTCTGCGTAACTGCAGCACATTTTATTATTCCGTGTACAAAAAAAATTTAGATAGAGTTAGGTGTTAGAATTAAATTGGTCTGATAGTCAAGATTGCTGGTTACTTTTTTCTTGACTATGACAGAGAAGGCACTAAAAACTATTTACATTATGCAGAGAACATAGAATGGAGTAGTCGAACGTCGTCCATAAGTTTGGACTTTAGAAATTGTAACTTTGGTGAGAACGAAAGCGTGTGGTAAAGTAAGAAATTTAAAAAAGAAGCGCAATGTGAAATGTTCAATCTTCATAGTACTTACTGGACCCCCTTTCATTTGTGCAATAGGGTGGATCAGATAATTGGGCGAGGAGGTGTTCAGTCTGATAAAAAAATGCGACCTGAAAAAGGAGAGAAGACGCCTCCGGAACTGGACCCACTGGACGAGCTCAGCATGATGGGCCGTGTGGTCAAAGTGGAGAAACAGGTACCAGAAGATGACATTTGAAGAGTGCGGCTGTGTTTCCATTACAAATGTTTGCATTAAAAACATGCATCGACGTCATCACTTCCGGATGTTGATCGCGTGACTTGTGTGATGCGAGAAAAGTTCTTCCATTGAACTTTCGTGAAGTACAATAACTTTGAAACAGTCACTAATTTACCTTTTAACAAAAAACTGGTTTTATTTGTCTTTGGGGTGTTTCCATTACGTAAACCTTTTTTTGTAATTCCAGTTTGTGCAGTTATACGGACTAATGGAAACAGCTAACGGAGCTGTGTGAAAGGGTGACCAACTAACCAGTCAGAAAGGTTATAAAGCAGCTGACATCTCACAGTCCAGTGTTGGTGTGTCTCTCTTTAGGTACAGTCTATAGAAAACAAGTTGGACCTCATGCTCAACTTCTACTCCCAGTGCTTGAAGAAAGGCTCCTCCCACGTCACGCTGTCCTCCCTCCTGGACCCTGACTTGACGTCTGACTACCACAGTCCCACGGACCACAGAGACCTCTTCCCATCTGCTAACACACTAAATATCTCCCAGTCTGATAGTGGGAACTTGGAATGACAATGGGACACAGACACTAACCCTTTACAGTATGTCCTCCTAAGGCTGAGTCCTCTGTCTGAGTAGCCGAGCATACCAAACCTCCCCTTTAATCCAGATCTGTTATGATTTCCCCTCCCATCTCAAGTCTCCGACATTGGCCACTAGGTGGCTCCAGCTGACTAGGAGCCTCAGCCAAAGCTGCTTACCGCACACGCCTCTCAACTCACTGGATGAGGAAAGTACTTGACTACTGAAGCAGTCTCACCCACTCACATCATGCTGTATATCTAAACCTACTTTAAAACTTTAACTGTAGACAGACTGTGGAGGGACCTTTTGCAGATATCTGGAGGAATCATCTCTTTCCTCTTTGTCTGGCTTTATTTTTCCTTGGGCACTTCAATCGACTGAAAGTTGTTGAAGAGCGTTCCCATTCCGACATTAGGGTGACAACACAGTTTTTTATGCTGTGATGAATGTAGCTGTTTCTTTGTTCAAGAGAAACGGCAATATGAGAACAAGAGCCATCGACACCTGAAGGACAAACACAGTTGGACCTGGATCAGCTGCACCGGCACCGGTCCCACCCAGCAAGAGAAATTTTGTTTTCCAGATCCGACGTTAATCACCCAAACGTTTCACATTAGAACAGAGTGGAAATGACGTGCTGGATTGACTGTGGATTGAACTATACCTTAGTGTAAATTGTTGTTTGTTTTCACATGTATTTCCTCTTAAGGAAATCTGGTCTCTGACAAGCCCAACAGCAAAAAAAAAAAAAAAAAAAAAAAAGACACACACATTGTTTCCAGCTCAGCTGCCATTGTGTTGAGGATTATGTAGGATTTAATAGAGCTGTGGTGGTCCGTTGTAATTCTCAAATCTCTTTTTTTTCACCAATTTTTCCAGACTACTGTGCAAACTACAACCATTTTAGTGACGTACACTTTTACTTTAAAAACAAAACTTCTGAAAGTCTCTGTCTTGCAGCCCATAATCCTGCCATATTTATTCATCAGACTTGCTTTTCAAGAGATGGTCCAGAATTTTTGTGGAGGAGTTCTGTAAAAACATAACAAAAGGTTAATATATCTGTCGGGTCCCGGTTCTCTTGGTGTCTTTTGGTTTAAATCCAGTTCTTTGGACCCAGGGGCTACATGTCTATTACTAAATGGCAACATTTATATCTGCTGTATATTTAAGGAAAACAAAATAATTTTCTTTCCTGGAAAATATTAAATAAGTTCTGACTTATTATATTAATTTTAGTTCAAACAACTATAAATATTAAAAACATAATTCCATTTTTTAAAAAATTTACGGTTTAACATTGCCAACAACCAACATTTGAAGTCATGATTAATCATAAATGTATTTAAAGCTTCTGTGGTTTTCTAAATTTGTTAAGTTAAATAACCAACTTTTATTAAACTTTTGATTTCAGTTCTATTTATAGGAAATCGTGACATTCTGTCTGGCATTCATCTAACTTTTCCAGCAAAACAAGCTGGCAGGGTCACATTCTTGTGAGGGGAAGACTCCAGCAACACTTGAACTACTAGGAAACAACTTTATTTGCAAGGCAACACATTTCAGCTTGTAGCCTTCATTAGGGTCACATTCCTTCCATGTTTTGGAATTTTTGTTATTTTGACTGGATCTAAAGACCAGCCAGGATACTTTGAAGTGACCTGAACCTTATTTTGAGCAAGAGGTCACAAATCTAGAGATATTTGTGTGCTGCATCTCCAAACTGCTCTGATGCATTAAAGGTATGAGCCTTTAAAATGCTAGAAGACAATTTTGGTTTCAATCCCCTTTCAAAATAGCATTAGCTACAGTCTCTGGGTCCTGCAAGTCTGTATTTACCCAAAACAAAGACAGCAAGAGAATAAATTATTCCTTTCAGTAAGACATTGGCTCATTGTTAAGTTATACAGAACTTCAATTAAAAAAATTCTGACAGATAAAACTTAGATCCGCCATATGAATTTAGACGGACTATGCTGAAAGCAGTTCTCTGCACTGCTTTTTGTCACTCATATCTGGCCTCAAGTCGGGTAATACCTCACAACCTCTGTGTCACAAGGGCAGTTTTTTATTCTTGTTCCTGTATCAGATGTCACATGCACTTAAAGACAGCACAAGCACAGTTTTAAACAATGAATGATGCTCAAGAAATCCAGGTCTAATGCATGAATTTCAGATTATCATTAATGCATGTTCCATTAAGATGCTTCATAACAAAAGGATGTGCAGTTGATCATTAAAATGTTACATGCAGACAAACAGAAACAACGAAAGCGCTTCATAATTGGAACGCCATTTTGTTGTTTAATTTAGCCTATTTCCTATTCCAATGTGTTTAATTTGACAAAACATGTTGTTTCTTAAAGTTTTGTGTTTGCTGACATAAATTTAGGATTTGTGTTGATATTTTTTCAGAACTGAAGTGACCCACAGACTCATTGATCTTGAACATGGATGTCGTTTTGAGTGTATGTTCATATTTCCTGCCTGCGACAGCTGCAAAAAAAAAAAAAAAAAAAAAATCCTTCATTGTTTTTGTCCAGTGATTAAGTCTTCCATCTCCAGTCACGTCCAGCTGACTCAGGTGCTCCACTTTTCCATTTAAGTGAGACTTTTAAACAGTGAATGTACTTCATTGCTTGGCCTGTTCAGATCTATTTCTGCTCCAATGGCTCTTGACGCTAGAAATTGTTTTAGGCACCATCCAAGTTTTCTACTTATTTCCGTAGGAAATACTTGGATAGCTTTATTTCTAGGGACTGAATTACTGCAGAAATCCCTGTTTAGTAGAGACAGTGTTACCATGAACGACACTGTTATTCATGATAATTAATGGAAGATCACTTTATTGCATGTTGTTCCTAATGTGGCCACCGTATTAGAAAAAAAACAAACACACAAAAATGTGTTCCAGAAAGAAGATAAAAGCAAATAACCTGTGCCTTGTTTCTTCTTATTCCGTGAAAGGTGTGGTGAGCCTTTCTATCTCCTACTTAAAACAATAAAAAAAAGCTTGGAAGAAGTCTGAAATCACACGAAAGAATGCTTTTTTAAAAACTTTTTTTTTTTTGCATAACATTTAACGAAAAAAAAAATTAGTTGTAAAAATTTTATCCTTTACAACTACTGTAATTTTCTGAGAATATTACTGTATCGTCAGCATATCACCGTACCTCCATAGAAACCCATACAGTATCTTAACACCCTTTAGATGTGGAAGCTGGAGGCACGGACATTTTGTGTCAACACAGGAATCTCTGCAGGCATGTGTGCTGTCACAAGCATGTCACATTAGATAAGATTGGCTTCCACTCAACTACCTCTGAGGCCTCTAGGGGGCGCTAGTTTAGAAACCTGATTAGGAGAAACAGTTAGTGACTGTCCAACTGACTGAATGCTATGCATGAACCAATCTGCACGTTCTCTTATCTGTTAGTGACGTCCCTATCATCCGTCCATCTTTTCACTGACTTGCTGCCATTTGACATTCCACCTCATTAATCTTTTAGCTGCTTTCCTACTGTAGGTTTTGGAGCTGCTGTTAGAATAAAGCACGAACTGAACAAGCAATAAGTAAAACACAAATTCAATACAAAGTCTTCCAAGTCCAAATGGTGGGGCAGTTGAACAAAATGCAACGTTGGTTTGTTTTCTAATCTAACCTATATTTGATCTTTTAAAGAGGTACAAAAAATGTGTTTCTGCTGAGAAGAAATTTTTAGAAAACTAACTTATTAATTTATTTGTTTCAATAAAGCTCTTTGGACTGTTTGTTGCTCTGGGTGTCTTTGTTCTTCACATTATGATACATTGAACTATGGTTTAATACACAACAACAAACTACTTTTGAAAGTTTTCAGTGAGTTACTACTGTACCTTCCAAAGCTTTCTACATATTGTCACATAATGGGTAAGTGATAACATGTGGATGTTGATAAATATTAATCATATTGGATTTTCTAACACAAATAATTTCATTATTATGAAGGAAATTGGTTCATATTTGTATTTATTTTAGTTGCTCAACTCAATCTAAATAAAACATATGACCTACAGCTATTTTTCACAATTCCTGTTAAGGCACTGAAAAGGTTTTAACACTTTTTCAAGACACAATAGTCTCAATAGTATAATTACCAAAACCAGAAATCGAAGATCTAGATAGTGTTTTTGACCAAGCAACAATTAATTCTGCAGCTGGTCAGAATGTCAGATTTGTCTTCCCTTCCCAGCTCCTACAGTGACATTTTTCCCACTCCGTAGATGTGGTAGAGCAAAGTCACATTTCGTTTGACAGGATCCACTATTAAATAGGCAAAGGTCTGCTCCTCCTCCCGTGTCCCAGGAAAACATTGGCCAGACTCATCCTGAAGAACAAAATCAATGCAGAAAATGTTTTTGCCATTTTCTTGAATGGCTCCAGCTGTAATGATATTCAGTGTGGAGGTTTCTTTTGGTTTTCAGACCTAAATTTTATGTGAACTGCTCACTTACATAGGCACATACTTTGAGTACGGTGGACACCACACCGATCTTCTTTGTTTCTGCGTCCTTTTGCACACTACAAAGTAAATAACAAAGGAATGGATCATAAGGAGGTCCTAACAATAGAAAAACCTTGAGTAAAAAACACATTTGGGTTTCACAATTTTAAGGGTTTAACACAGAGTTAAAACAACACTGTACAGCGTGACCCTTTTGAATCAGTGGTTCCTGCACAAATGATATTTATAGGTGGAGAAATGTAAGAAATTAGATGCATAGATGCAGATCCATATGTTTGTTTTCCAATCACCAAGCTATATATTTGTTTGTAGAATCCCTATCCTACCATTCATTCATTTGGTCACCTATTGCTTAATTCTTTTTTCTTTCCTTCCTTCTTCACAGCTGATTTTTTTGCAGGCACCATATTAAGCTTCAGTTCTGCCTTTTTTTTTTTTGTATTTTTAAAATACAAATAAGTGACAGAGCAATTCTGGACACTTAGTTTGGAAAAGTATGGGGTTTTGACATTGAAAATGTGTAGGAACTCAGACTCCTGTGCATCCATAACTAGATTTAATATTTCCAAGCAGATTAATTTGTCTTTTAGGTTACTATGAAAACTGGCAAATCACAGCAATAAGGAGGGGACAGGCAGTTCTGATTTAAATTAATTTAAAGATTTTCTCTGGGATTTCATGAAAGACTAGATCACAGGATCAACATTATTTTCTGGTTTTAAGGGCATTCACAATTTACAACGTTGGAATACCTTGAGACCAGAATCCTAGAGAAGAGTTTAGTTAACCTTCTTTTTCTTTATAAGTTGAAGTCTTGTGCAACAGCTCACCTTATCAGGTCTTTGTATATTTTCTTTGTGGTGCTGATGTAGGGGTCGATGGTGTCTTCATACTGACAGAGTTCTCCGCCAAGACACAGGTGCTTGAAAAGGCGAAACAAAAACTCCTCCCGCTCCATCCTCCCAACAACATAGTAGTGCTCAGAGTCCTCTTCCTGTAACATCTGGAAGGGGCAAAAAAAGCCTTGAACTTAAACTCAGAAATGAAATAGATGCAAACAGGCAGAGGGAGTAAAAAAAAAAGAGGGGATCACCTGCCGAAGTTCATCATAGTCAGGGTGGACATCATGAAAGCATTTAACTACATGACCAGAGGGCCTCAGGATGCCGCAAGAGTAGATCGGATCAAACAACTCCATGGAGATCTTAGTGCAGGGCACAAGCTCTGTGCTGACAGACACTACTGGCCTCTCTACAACACACATCAGTGTATTAGCCTTCGTCAAGAACAGATGACATCAATTTCCAGCTGTCATTGATAAAAGGATCTCTAGGGGATGACATACCAAGAGGCATGCAGACTCCGGCCTCCATATTTCTTAGACTGGCAATCACCTGAGGGTCTTTGAAGAAACACTGAGAAACAATGGAAGGGAACATCAAATGCATTCAGTTTAGACAAAAAAATGACGAACAAAATTGAGAACACCTCATTTTTGAAGATTTGCTTTTTTGAGTCTGAAGAAGTATGGCATTTTTATGTGAAAATTGTAAAACATTACATAAAAATAAAGAAACGCTATTTTACAATAAAATACATATCTGACAGTAAACACAATACTAGAGCATGTCTCACCAAAGCAAACGTTTCGCAGCTGTAAGGATGGAAGTTGCTGTCAAAGCTGTAAGTCTGAGCCGAGAGCCTCCCCAGCATCGACCTGAATGAAGCCACACAATGAGAAACAACACACCAGGACAAGCGGGAGAAAGTTGGCTCTACTTTTACGTCACCATTTCATCAACAGCGTCAAGGTGTTCTTATCTTCCTGGAAAGAGAAGCTCTTGGCAGGAAGAGGACTGAAAGAGAAGGTCTGCTCAAACCCGCTGTCGTCTCCTGCCATTGTGAGTTTCGCCCAGAAATGTATAAAAACAACAGAAACTTTAGAGCTGTTTTAGCTAACAGGTAGTAGACTTAATCCTGAGTTTTACTCGGTGCCAATACGTTAATTCCAATTCGCGTTTTTTCTCGTTCAATCTTTTAGGGACGCGAGTTTGTCTCGAGTAGCTGTTGCCTTGGTAACGGACGGTTGGTGACGTCCTGCGTGAACTACATCTTTATTTTCCCCTTCAGATGACACTAATATAATTTATTTTAGGTCAACGGTAATGTATCTACGACGACGTATTTATCACATGTTGTTTGGTATTTTTTATTTGAAACGTTTTCTTTGTTTTCATCTGAACGTCTTAAGCTTTTTCTTTTTGACCACCAGATGGCGACATTTATTTGCTTCAAAAGGTAAATATTTTTCTTACGCTGTTCTTTCTGAGTTTTCTCTCATGTTACGACATCATGTTATGGTGCTTCGAAGATTTCCTAATCAGCTCATAAATCCTGTTAGAAAGCACAAAGCTGACCACTGATTTTTATTTTTTTCTGCTCGTGGAAGATATGTGGGAGAAAGACCAGATGATTATGAAAAGACCTGCTATGAATCTGAGTTTCAGAAAATGTGAACTGGTTTAAAAGCATTTTGTACATTTTTTTAATGTTCACTAAGTGAGCATTTGAGACATTTCTTGAGTTAATGGAGGGAGTTACTCTTGCTGGTAATCATTATTCAAGTGCATGTAAGTGCACCTTTTGTGCATATTGACTTCACATTTGTTTAATAAATAATGGCATGGTGGAATCTGTTGTCTAGTTTTGTCCAATTCTTATTAGATCCAATTAGTTTTGTGCAGGATTGGAAAATGTTTTATTTCACTTCATGCATAACATCCTCTAGGAAGTTTATAGAGACCCCTACACATGTTTAATTTACTCCTGCTTAAATACTTGTGTCATTCCTATCATTCCAGTTTTCCAAGAGGGAGATCTGGAATTGTTTTGTTGCACATTCCAGTGATAGGACTTCCTGAGCTTCAATATTCCAGATGAAGGGAGCCAAAACGATCTGCTGAGGGGAAACCCTGAAGTCACCATACTGTAAGTGTGTTTTTGTATTACAATGGATGTTTGTATATGGATGCTATACAGGGAAAGCAATACTGTCTGTGCCATGTTTGGGGTGAATCTGATTTTCTTTCACCAAATAACATGAGTCTGAGACATACCAGTAATAGTTACATGGCAGAATTGCTCAGGATTTAGATGAAATCCGGTTTCTTGGCCTTCAGTCTCGGCATGTGGTCAAAAATTAGTTCAGTTCAACTTTCCCATGTGAACAGAACTATGTAATAAACTGCACAGTGATGTAACTGTGATAACATGATGCAACTGTTCAAACCACAACAGTACTCTAATAACACAGCTCTAAGATAGTGATGGTAATTGGAGTGCCACAATGTATTGCTGTAATGACAAAGAAAACACAAGGATTATTAACTGTGACAGCCAAGAGACAGAATGAGATTCTGAAGCCAGAATATGACAAAACATAACATAGCATAACAGGTCAGGTGCATTTAAAATATATTTTCATTTTCTGCTGATTGCTTCAAGGGACTTGCTTTTTAGACCCATCATAGACTAAATGGAAACCTGGCAGGTAGTATGGCAGACAAAGGTCAGAAATCTTGAGAGAAATATTGGACCATGATTGCAAACTATGATAATATCTTTCCATTCTGCCTGTTCAGATTTGTTGACAGGTATGGAGTTCTTTCCATCTTCGTTGTAGTGTTTTGCCTTTTCATAACAGTTGCATGATGGAGGCATCTCATAAATACTAAAAAGACAAGTTTAGACACAGATTGTCATTGACACTGTGATCATGCAATTCAAACTTTTTACAAAAGCAAGAGAAACATTTACAGAAAACATTTAACTGGTCTATTAATAAAAGTCAATCATATTTGCTGGCTGTTCAGTTATTTTTGAATAATCTGATTAAAACCCTTAAAGTAAGAAAAGTTGTTTTCTCAACAAATGAGCAGGCATGGACTAGCATGAACATCATGCTTGTTACACAAGTAACTTGTTACACATTCCTTCCTAGGTACTTTTTACATTTTATCTTTAAAATTGCATTTGGAAAACATTAAATGTGAAATGGTTGCTGCCTTGATGCATATCCACCTGTGCCAATTAAAGATAAAGTCTCTGTGAGGAAGACGGTTATTCCACAACAGCAAGATACTAGATTGCTAAAAAGACACAACAACATTCAAGGTCTTTTGGTTTCAGGTGTATCTATATGCAAATATGGTGCCTTCCCAAAGTATTTATACCTTTGTATCCTTGAACCTTTCCACATTTTGGCAT